GTGGCCTCTATGATTACATCTGATGTGTAATCCATCGGGGATCTCAATATCAAATAAGGGAAATTTTATGACAAATAAACACAGAAGAAAACAAGTCCCCTTTGATAATAGGGGGGCAGACACAAAGGCCCCTATTGTGTGATTCCACTTATGGAAACATCAGGAATAGGTAACAGAACAGAGAGAGAAAGCAGCTTAGGGCTTGCCGGGGACTTGGCTGGAGGAGAAACGGGCAGGGAGGCCTTCTGGTTCGGGGACTCCTTTGTGGAATAAGGTATTCTGCAGCAATGTTCTGGGGTGTGGTGGCACAGCGTTGGGCATGTAGTTAATGCTCATGACGTGTTCAATTGAAAACAAGTAATTTTATTTAAAACCAATAATAAACAGTATATAGGACATGGAAGGATAAAATAACAGTTAATATGGACCAGAAGAAAGAACACAGGTGGAGGGGATGAAACAATCGGCGGGGTCTCAGGTTCTGGCGATGGAACTAAGGGTAATTGTACAAGGAGCTCTCCCTGCAGCGCTGTGGGCTCTGGATGTGGCCGTGGGAGCCCTGCAGGAGCAGAAGTAAGGACAGGGGTTGGATAGGGGCAGGGACAGAGGTAAGAGCAGGGGCAGGGGCTGGGGCAGGAGCAGGTGCCAGTTCTTCCTGGACAGCGTCAGTCTCTCCGTGGGCAGGTGCCGGGTCACCTGCCGGCTCCTGGTTTCCTCCTGAAGTCACTGCAGGCACCAGCCCTCCCTCCAGATCCGGCTCTAGCTCCTCAGGCGGTGGAGCAGCTGTGAGTGGAGAAAAGCTCACCCCCGTGCCTGCTCTCTGTGGGCCTTTGCAGAGACAGAGCCCAGCCCAGGGCCTCCCAGAGAAGCCACAGCCGGAGGAACCTTCACGGGGACGTCTCCCCGACTGCAGTCCACCAGCTGGGGGCCCTGTGCCCAGTCGTTGCTCCTGGCCCCACACCAGCCTCTGGGGCCTCCTCCCTGTGGTGCCAGCCCCGACACATCCCCACACACCACAAACACCCAGCCCCAGCCTTCTCACCCTCGGCCTCGGCCTCCATGGGTTCCGGCTCCTGGTGCCCACTGGGTATCTGACCCCTCATCAGCCTGCTCCTGCTCGGGGTGGCCCCACCCCCATGACCCCTCTTGACACACACACTCACACACACACGCACACAC